ACATCAAAGAAGGGTCTACAACCATAAACTAATTTCTCAGTCTCTACTAAATCCCTCCAAACACTAATTGTTAGCTTACAGCTCAGTTCAAGAGAGATACATGCAGTGTGTGCTTAGACACTGAAAATAAGTAGAAAATCAACAAGCATGATAAATGCATCCCTTTAGAACCTTTATACTCAAGAAGTATCTTAGATGCTAAACATACATCAACTTTGTGCCTGAAGACAATGCTCATGTTTACACTGTGCTCTTAATCCCTGTAAAATCATTTCATACAGTGTAGATCTGTTTGGGTGTATTTTTCATCTGTCCTTAAATTGCTTAATGTTTTCAGACTTTACAGGCTCAATTAAGTCTGAAAATTATATACTCATTTTCTAAGCTCCCCCCCCCCCCCTTTAGTAAGGGGTTCTAAGTTTGCCATTTTATATAATAATACAACATGATTTTATAGTTAGGGGACAGCTCAATATGCAATTATTTGTTTGCACACACAATTAAAAGATTTGTCTTCTGAAGACATGCCTGAGAAAATCACACTGTTCCATAAAAAGCTGCTGTTCTAGTTACAAGTACTTCTAAATGTTCACCTTTTGATGAAGCTTGCTTCCAGGCACTGATCAGTGTGCTAAACATTCAGTGTGTTAAGATATTTTCATGTGTCTAGCTGCTCTAAATGTGGATGAAATTTGGAAAAAACATGGAAAAAGTATTTAAAGATTTTTCCAAGCTAATATTGAGGCCTAAATATTTTTAATCTTAATTTTTTGTCTGGTGGCTAAAAAAGGTAAATGATAACATCCCATTTCTTTAAGGCAAGCATTGACTATGATGAGGTGTGGGAAAAGAAAGGCCAAGCAGTATACTGAGGAAGGCCATGTGGAGGTGTGGGCAATTGAAGAACGATAGAAGAGGGTGATAGTATTTCATTTGTAGGCTGAAAGGCAACCACAACTGCCTACTCTTAAAGAGTTGATTTTTATGGAGCTCAACTTCTGCAATACACCCAGGAGAAGGTCTGCACAGACCTCTTCACTGCTCCCAAATGGGAGGAATGGTCTGGGGAGTCTTTTTTGGGGGGGGCACGTAAGGGATGGAAGGGTACTTTCCTGAATGAATTCCCACAGTTTCCAGTGCAGTGTTCATTTAAAATTACATCCCTGTATTGTACTGTCTCATTTTTTAACTTTTAACTATCAGGAAAAGCCAATTCTTAACAGATAATATTTCAGTGCTTTTATTAGGACAGTGTAAAGATGGTTCACTTCTCAGGAACTTACCAACAAATGCGATTTACGATAGCAAAGGTGTGGAGGAGATAAACAGCTAAGAAGAAAAACGTCCTTCCTTTGAAGCAGTATGATTTGTTTAAAAATAGTGGTTTAGGTGTCTTGGCTACCTACTTGGAGTTGCTTCTTTATTTAGTCATGTTTACAGTCTGTGAAGTTTGCTGTATTCAGGAAGCTGGCTACCTGTGGTAGGGTTTCTACCTTTGTCAGACCGCCAGTGTGGGGCTCTTCTGTTGGCTACTGAAATAGCATTTTCTAGAACGACAGTAGTGTCAGCAGTTTGTTTCTGGCTGTACCCTCTCTTTCTCTGCAACAAGCAAGTCTGTATTTTGCAGAAATGCCTAAATTAACACAGGTACGGCAGCCACACAAAGTAACTGCAGTGTGTCGTGGGAACAACCTGTCTGCAGGTCTTTAGTAGTCTTTAAGTTTAGTTATGTGAGGGTTTAAGATGCCCTCATATAACTAAGCTTAAATACAACACTGTTAGTCTAGACTAACATAGGGGACAAATGTACCATGGTATGCATTAGATGCCAGCTTTTTTTTTTCTTTTTTAATTCACTCAGCAATATCACACAACATCTTACTGTTTTGGAATTGAATTTGAAAGCACCAAATGAAATCTAAAGTTCTCACTAAAATTGGGGGGAATTATCTTTTTGATGCCTTTTACACACTTGTGTGTATATATATATGCGCATGTGTGTGTATGTATCTGTGTGTTTATGTATATATATATTTGGAAAACAAGATAATAATGCCTTTATTTCTGACATGTCTCTAATCCTGAATTTCTGAATGCATTGGTTTTTAGGTTTTGTTTCTTTTTTTATATGGACAAAATAATTCCTGATAAAGAGCTTTGCAAATGCTTATTTCTCTGAAAAGGGAGCCAAGATAGTGCAAAGCAGAGGACTGACCATAGGATTGTACCTAAATCCAAGGATTTGGGCTTGATACCTTCAGCCTAGCGTGACACAAGAATTCCCTGTGTGTATCTGTGCCACCCATCTGTGCTTCAGTATTTCTGCCTTTAATACAGGCCTGTGTGCTTACAGTTGGGTCTCAGAATTTAAATCAGCTGGAAAACGGGGGGAAACATTACAGGAGAAAAAAAGTACTGAAGAGCAGTAATACTTCTAATAACACTTGAGTAGTTCTATTTTCTGTAATGTGTTAAAAATGTCTAATGCACTAAACTTGATTTTTTTAATGATTGTAAAATAAAATATGTGCTTTCAGGACATTTAAAAAAAAAAAAAAAAGCTCCATCATCATCACTTGGGCAGTGCCTGGGTGGCTGAGCGCCAGAGAGACAGCAGTGGGTTTGCTTTCCAGGCTGCACCTTTTGTTCCCCAGACCAGCAGGGAATGGCAGCAATGCAGAAGCAGCAGTTTAGCTCCTGGGCACAAAGGGATCCTTAATGCCAATTAAAAAGCAGACTTAATGACTACCAAAAGCAGCCCCCAAGCCAGGCCTCCTTAGCTAAAAAAAGATGGGAAAGCAACATGTTGTAGGAAATGATGGAATTTTGAAAATCCCATAAGAAACAGGGGAACACCCTTTGCTTTCCATACTGCATCCTCGGCTCTTGCTCTGCTAAGAGCGAAGCCGTATAAAAATACAGAGGAGTAAGTGGTGTAACTGCCCCATTCAGAAAGTGGCTTTTAGCTAGCTGGGGGATTGTTTGTGGTCAGTGTGTTATTTCTAACTAAAATGGCACTTCATAAAAATAACAAATTGTTGGCAACCATTGCTCTTTGAATTCTATTTCTAGTTCTAGTCTCTATTTCTGTTCCTCTCGGTTGCTTTGCTGCTAACAAATCAAACTTCAGGATTGCAGCAGGAAATTTAGATTTAACCTCAAGAGTCAATGTTTTGTCTCATGTCTGCTCTAATGTGATACAGATGTTGGAACTGCTGTACGTAACTCAAGATTTTATTGAACTAGCCCTCCCTGCCTAATAGAAAACATAGCTAAAACAGGAGTGCACATTAAACACAGATTATTCTGAAGGCACTAAGCTTGTGAATTTTAGTAATATATTTACAAAATACTTGCGATATTACTTCAATTGCACATCCTTCAGCTGTTTGATATGGAGTTTCTGCCATGGTAAAGAAGCAGAGCTCTTTATCTTACTTGTTTTAAAAAGCAAAACCAAGAAGTAAACACGTTAAAATGCAATACCTGTAATTATTTACAGGCTGGATATTCTTTTTTTCCAATTCTTTGTTTCCTCCTCTTTAAAAGATAACCAGAAAGACTGGAGAAATAGATTACCTATTGCATCCCTTTTTATTTCTTCTGTTTTCCAACAATCCTGATCTCCACTATTCTTGCTTTTTTTAGTTTTCCTTCTCTTGAGTTGCCACTGTGGCCAGAGCGTGCTAAACACTTGGATATGTCTTTGATGAGGACTGAATGGTAAACAACTGACATTTCTCAAGACTCTGCTATGCCATGTTAGCCCCAGTACAAAGTTATCTGAAATCAGTTCTTTCCTCTATTCATTCTTATTTTTCCTTATTTCTAATAATGAGGTTAAAGTTTGCTACTTTTCTATTACAAACAGTACACTGTGTTTCTTAAATGAGATTTTTTTTAAGGTAAAATCAGAAGGGTTACAACACCAGAGTGCTTTTCTTGCCCATAACAAAATAGGAATTATGTATTAATTTAGTGCACCAAAACCAATTGTCATGCCTTATAATACAAAAGCCACGCAGAGCAATCTCCAAGCAACAAACAGACCAGGTAAAAGCCCTCAATAGACAGAAAGTGGGGAAAAACCCAAACCCAAACCAAAAAGCTCTGCAGGGAAACACAGAGATTAAAAAAGTCTTATATATATTTCCACTCAGTTAGGCTGACTGATACTGTGGCTTTTTTGTTTAAACCTTGAACTTCCACTTCTTGCTGGAGGTCTTTGACCCTTGGATGGACCAGCGTATTTTGGGTGTGGGTGTTAGACGGGGTACAACTGGGACTTCAGGCAGCTCTAGGGCTGCTGGCTGCTCTGTTGGTAATACCAGCAACAGTGCAGACAGACACACCAAAGGTGAATTCCTTGTCCTTGGTGGGTTAAAGCTGAGCTCCAGAAAGGTGACAGCTATATTAAAAAAAACAGTAAAAAACCCTCACTCATTCAAATGATGGCCATATCATGAAAGTGAATTCATTTCAGCCATTGTATCAGCAAAGCAGATCATTAACTGGACCTTAGTATATTGAACTATAAACCTGTTATTTCCCTGGTAGCACTCTTTGAGGTTAATTGTCTTTATATATTCCATTGCAAAGCTTTTGGTGTCAGACCTGGGTTTTTTCTACATAAACAGAGAGCATCTCATGCAAAATGGGGCCGTGATCTTTCTTGGGTCCAGCAGAGGAACCTATATGACAAATAACTGATCCTACCTACTGACTGTATCATCCTTTTTAAAAATCTTCCTGGTCTTCTCACTCATTACCCAAGAAAATCTGTATCAGCAACTATTTCTAGGAGCTAACTTTTGGAAAAATGAGGAAGGTTTTATTATTGCCTAAAGCCTCCAAACTGAGTTCGTATCCTGTAATGAGTCTCTGTAATACTGAGTCATTTTTAAAATAGCACACTAGCTCTGTCATCATATGAGAAAACTCTGAGGTCATCAGTGTAGCAGGACTGTAAATCATTACATATTAATCTTTTTCTCTTCCAGGCTTCAGTTTATTTCTTTCATTTCCACAAACACTATACAACATTCACAGGTAAGTTAATTAACATTAAATAAGTTCTATCCCTTCCCATTTAATTCTGCATATTTAATGGTTTCCTCACTTGAGAAATAAATGTAAAGCTTGAAGTAGCCTAGCTTCTTTCAGCCACCTGATAATGTAGTAAAAGTTTTTTCTGGTCAATTTTTAGAATCTGACTGGTTTCTTTTCCATGTTTGTAACTCCTCTCCTTTTCCTTTCACTTGCCATTCTCCAGACAGTCTCACACTGCACTCACTGGTCCTGCATAGTAAACTGATGAAGGCTCTGTAGTTAAAAACACTGCATTTTATTTGCAGTCAAATGTGATTTGTAAGTTCTACCTGCCCTAGGTAAAATTCTGTAGCTTATCAGCCTGCACTCCATGAAGTACTTTATTGTCTTCCAGATCCTTCTGTAAAACTCTTCTCTGTATGAAGTCTGCAGATAATTGCTGTCAGATACAAGCTAGGCAGGTGGCAAGCTGTGATTACATCTGAGAGCTGGCTTGCTGCACCTAGGAATTTTATACATGGCCAGTTTATACTCTGATGGCCTATTTTGATTAATGCTGCCTGCCTTCCACTAGTATTTGCTAGCTCATTTCACTCATCTGTCACATCAGGTCTCTCAGGTCCTAAGTGTCCTGGAGGAGGGACTATCACTGCGTGTCTTGAGGAATTAGTGGAAATTAATATTAACATTCAGATTTTGGAGAGACTATAAGACAATAACACCTCACTCCTACACAGCCCTTTTCACGTTGCAGTACTCGGTGTACTTAATAAAAGCATGAATAGCCCTGAGTTTGGGGCAGGAAGAGTGGAGGGTCAGGAGGTGTGGGGCAGGAAAGGCTGAGAACCCGCAGAAAGGCTGGGCTTTGGGGCAGGGTGCTGGGAGCAGCAGTGGGAGGGGGCTGGGGACCAGTGGTGCAAGGGACTTTGGTTCAGGGAAGACTGGAAGAAGGAGGACAGCAGCTTGGGCATGTCAGCCCCTGGCAGTAGCAGCATTTACGCTGATGAACTTTTAGTTTTTGCTTTCTTTCCTCTGATGTCAGGACTTTTGTTTAGTGTTTTCCTTTTCAAGTCATCATTCAACATAGTTTCTCTCAAGTCTTTCGGTGGGTTTATCATTCCTCTGAACAAGAGAGCACAGTCATTTTAAACATCCAGTCAGGTTTGCTTGAAGGATGCATACACAAGCTATTTGGTGATGAGGGATTTGAGTTTTCCAGTCATCTCCTCTCTTTCTTCATCCTGCTGCCTGTTCTCAGTTGTTATTTTATCAGAAGAATATTCTTTTTTGGAATGAGAAAGATATTTATTGGATTTTTGTCTAGCTGTTTCTGCAAATACAGATGTTCAGATACTTTAAACAGGACATTTCCCAGTACACATCAAACACAGAATTGCTCTTCTCAACTATTGGTATGAAGAATGGTTTAATGATAGTGAACTTCAGTAAATTAAACCTCCTGCTCCTTTTATAACGTCTCAATGAGTTTTGCCTGAATGAGAAAGATGCAAGATATATGCACAAGCTATTGATCTTCCAGTTACCTTTTTCCTAGCTGACAGAAAATAGTCATTTACTACCTTTAATAGTACTACCTTTAAAAGACAGCTTAAAATATCCAAGAAAACACAATGCATCATTAATTTTCCTGTACTCTAATTAGCAAAGAAAGCCTCCCTTTTAGGCTGTACTTTGGCAACAGTACAGAATTTTCTAGCAGCATCACCTCTAGACCTAAACAATAGCAACGCTTGCCAGCTATGTGCTTGACTCTGTTGCCACTGAAAACATGGGGCATATTGGCTAAAGTAATTTCATGCCTCGTGTCAGAAGTTTCGTCCTCTAAAAAATATATGTTCTGAATTCACAGCAAGCCTGCATGCTGTGCATTTGGATGACAACTACAACAGAGTACTGCAGCTCACTTTGTGTAAGCGTAGTGGTCCATTGCCAGGCAATGATGAGTGGGTGAAGCTGACCAGAAGCTATGTGAATAAGCCAGTATAATTTTACCCCAGAAATAAACGTTACTTGGGTATCCTACAATTTCTCGTAAAATGTCTGGGTATCTAGCGCATTTGCACAGGTAGTTGTGTTGCAAGATGAATTCTTGGGCTGAGTTTAGGCTAGAGTATGAAGTTACTGTGCAGAAATAGAATGGATAAATTTTCTTACTCCATAAAATCGTTGTATTTATTTACAGAGCACATTTAAGGAAAACACTGAAGAACGATTCTTTGTATGAAGGACTCCTACCTCTTGTGTCACCTCTGTTGCTGTTCATTCTTCTTACAGTCTGGGTGGTTTTATCTCCAGGCAACATATTAGCAAAGCAACCAAGATTGTTTTTATGGATGGTTGGGGTTGCTTTCTCAAATGTTATTGTAAGTATGTTTGTGGTGGTGGTACTACTTAGAGATAGCTTTCTATTTTTATGTGAATAAACAGAAGGGAACAGAAACTGTAGCTAAAACTCTGCAGTATTACACAGCTCTTCTACCTCTATGTTAAGCTCTGTCTTATAAAAATACACCACAGCGGTTGTCTGGACTAGGGACACTTACAGTACTGCAATACCTACTCTACTACAGCATAACATTTTTATGAGGGTTCTTTTTTTTCCTGAGGGTTTACAAAAACCCTAGGGAGGCCTTACTTCCAGAAATATAACAGATATTCCCCCCCATATAGGCAGAAATGCAGACTTGTCTAAGGCAAAGACAGCTCAACACAGGCACAGATTTACCAGCAAGAGCAGGGGGGTTGTAGTCTTGCGCTGCTGCTGTGCCCTTTAGTGTGGTACGTGTATTCCTGTATCCTGCAGTTCAGTTGATCCCACATTTTCCCTTCACCATTCAGAATAAGGCCGAACCACTGACAGCATTTTTTTAGGGCAAGATGTGAAGAGATGCAGGGGCCTTGAGATGGCTCTCTGCCCACAGATCAGTTCTCATATACCATATCATTGTGACCGATTTCCCCCCTTTAATGCCTATGAGGCAACATAAACTTCGCTGAAGTAACAACATGGGCAGCCAGACAGTAATGCTGAGCACTGCAGTTAACCCAGGGCTTTCCTCTCTGGAGGAGGCCCTTTGTCTCTCTTCTTGCCAGGAGAGAGGCAAGGGAGCTGCAGCCAAGTAGAAAGGTGTTCCTCCATTTAATGCTAAGATACCCTAAGGGATAGTGACTCATGTCATTTGAGGAAAATAGTCTCCAATGCCATCTAAAATTGTGTCACTGAGCAATGCTACATCCACCTTAAGAAGTGAAAGGCTTGAAATGCCTTGCATTATGAGAGATATCTTTAGAAATGTGGGATTTTAAAAGAGAAACCATAACCCCTTTAGAAGTTTGTATTCAGAGATGGAAAAGAAATCATAATTGTGATGTTCATTAGATGTATCCTATAAATGTATGTTTCTGAGGGTCACAAACAGTTCCATCTTAGGGGCTTAATCTCACAAAAGTTCGGTTATTTTCAGATGTATAAATTTTATTGTATGCATTTTTCATTACCTAATCTACCCCTTTTTCTTAAGAGAACAGTATAGATTCCGTAATGAGAAATACAATTATTTCATACCAGTGGGGAAAGTGCTTTCAGAGTTTGGCAGCTGGCAGGTTCTGCACATACATCTTAACCAACCGAGAGCAATTGTGGCAGGATGCTTGCAGAAGAAAAATAGTAAGGCAAACCAGAAGTTTCTTTGTAGACTGCAGTTTATTAGACATTGAGTGCAATGCATTTCTTCAGGCCTTGTTTTTTTCTTTTACTAAAATATCTACTGCAGTGTTAGAGGCTCGCATGAATTAAAAATTTATGTGTGTTAGTTGAAATTTTTAACATTTTAAAAGCAAGCATTAAAAATGTATGGGTGTTAGTTGGAATTTATAACATTTTAAAAATGAAAAACAAGCCTGTATTTCCTTTCACCTCCTCTGGTCCCTTGAACACACGTTTCCTCCAGCATCAGAGTAAGGCTTGTCATGGCAGTGCTTTTCTTCTCCATGATAGTTTGGCACATTGGGTTTCCATTATCTGTTCTGTAGACCACAAACTGCAGCCCATGTTTCTCTACCTGCCAGTATCTTAACTTCTTATGCCTTTGACAACATATTTAGCTGCCCAGCAGATCCTCTGGGCTAAATGCCTGGTCTCAGACCTGGCCTCATAGCCGTGCAATGTCAGGACAAGTAGGGAAGGCGACGGCCTCCTGGGAGTGGGCAGAAAGACAGGCCATTTCCAGTGTTTTTGGCTAAACTAGGGCACAAAGGCATCTGAGGCCTAAGAAAGGAAAGCTGTTGATCCATGAGAGGAGGACTTCTTTTCCCAGTCCCCACGGCCAGCAGGGGGACTGCCGATGGGTTGGCAACCACTCTTGCGGAGAAGTTCAGGCCTTGCTTTCAGATTTGCTCGTAGGGCAAGTCTCAGAAATATCCAGGTCTGAGCAAATCACCACAGAGCACCACTGTCACAGCTCCCACTTAGGAAGCCCTCAGAGGCACGTGTTTTGAGTCCAGGAGGAGGGGACGGAGTGGGTAAGTCTCTTGGAGCGGACCTTCAGCCATCACCATAGCACAACCGCAGTGGCCGATATAGCGGCCGGCTGATGAGCAGGGGCAGCTCAGACTCAGGAGATGCTTCACGAGGAACCTCCCAGGGGAGATGGTAAGAGAGAAGATGCTAAGGACCTACCCTGGGGCACAGACCAGAGCTGCTGGAGGTTTAAATTCAGCAGGGCCAGGGTAGCATTGCAAGGTGTAGGCGAGGGGGATGGAAAAGCACAGGGCATAGTCCCATCGCCTTACCTTTTCTTTCCAGTCTGCGTCTCCAGACTCCAGCTCTTTCACCTCCTAATGCTGTTTTTGCCTCACTTGTAGCATGAGTCAGTGCTTCAGGACCAGGGGGAATAAGGAATTGAGGGAGGAGTGCAGAGCATAGCTCATTTTGCAGTCCTGTGATACACCGAAGGTGAATTGCTCCAAATATTAATAAGCAATCTTTATGAATAATCAAGTACCGTACTTAACATGGTGTAATAATGGTTTAGAACTATGTGAAATCCAACGCCTGGACAGGTGCAATTATTCAGCCAGAAAAATTATAGCATATAGGTTGCTTTAGCAATTTCTGATACCCTCTGGAATGATTCCCAAAGCACTCATAAAACTGGTGTTATTCAAAAATTCATAATCAATACTGATAATGTATTCTAAGTAAAAATATTTACATTAGGTACAAATGCTTACTTCTTGCATTATTGAAAGTTAATTATTTTTTCATGGTTTATTTTTGCATTCTTCAGTTTCCACAGCAGAGACAGTAAAGCCAGTTTTTCCCTACGGTCAGACTCCTACTGCTACTGTCATCGGATTTCAGGCACTGCACAGGGAATGAATTTTTCATTCTTCTACTGTTTTCAGGATACATAAAATCTATTTTTAACCACGTTTAGATTTTGAGTGAAACTTAAATTGATAAAATATTTCAGATGTGCCTAACCCCCTTTTTTTGTAAAGGACATGGTGTATATGAAACACATTTCTTAAGGAGTCTAAATCAGGTAAAACACTTAGGTGTGCTTAACTGGTTTTAAAAATCTGAACTTCAAGTGAGTCCATCTTATTACGTTTCAAGAACTCAGTAAAATTAAGCTAATTGCTTTCAGTTAAACCATGCATCATATATTCTTTTTTTTTCTGCCATTCTGAGTGGGATCCCTTTCACTGGGCCCCCAGCTACACCTCCAGGGAGTCCACTGCCATGATCAAGCCAAGAAAATAGCGTTTTAGTACACGAAGCAGTGCTAGAAAAGAAAAACAGGATTTAAAAGTGGCATATATTACCTCCCCTCCCTTCTATACAATGAACCAGAATATATTTCTGTCACACCATGTGATTAAAATACCACTATGCTCCTCTCCCAGTGATTAAGTGGTGGCACATTTGATTTGGGATCACAACTTTATCAGCCCATGTGAAAGCATGAGGTGTCAGACAAACTCCCCCTTTGTGAAGATGTGCTTCAGCTTATAAAGCGAAGTGTGTCAAAACACTGTCCCCAGAAAAGAAGTATGTATTTTAAATTACTTGTAATAAAGTCCTTTAAGACTCACAGAGAGTGAGGCATAAAGGTGTATCTACAGTAGTTTTCTCATCAGAAACAAGCTCCATTTTGAACTCCAGCCTTGCTTTCCCCTCATCAAAAGCAACCTGGAGAGAAAATGGACTTACTTTTGCTTAGACCCCTGGGCTGACCCAGCGCTTCTCACCTAACGCCTTTTGCTCCGACAGTGCAAGATGATTATCTGCCAGATGAGCAGCACGCGGCCAGAGCTTTTCCACTGGTTCCTCTTCCCGCTGGCACTGGTGGTCTACGCAGCCATCTCCGGGCTGCTGGGCTGGATGGAAGAAGCGGTGCTCGCTGTGTTCACTGCGCTGGTCACGGCCGCCCACGTGCACTACGGGGTCTGCGTGGTGAGTGGGCGCCTTCAAAGTGGCCGCGGGAGAGCTGCACTGGGGCGGGGGGAAGATGGGGTCTGGGAACGGTTTCTGTGCTGTCTACTTGGGGCAGTGTCCGGGAGTCTGAATGTTCAGTTATGGCTTGCTTTCTGTGTATTGTTTTAATCAGTATAAATTTAAAAAAAAAAAAAAAAAAGTCAGTTTACTGCAGGCAGTGACTTTTTGCACAGGCAGCAACTTCAGTGGCTTGAATTATTCTGATGTAGCTGACTGGTTTCAGCTTTAAACCCATCACAATCAGAGTATTTATGGACTGGTTTTATGTACCAGTTGACCCACATGGCATGAATCCTCCCACCCCTTTCCCCTTTCTTCTTCCTAAGGTTACTTGACTGAAAAAAATAAGAAGGTAAAATGCAAAGTGAAATAAATAGAATTCATAAAATAATGTTAACTTTGCTTTGAATCTACAAGCAAAATAGGCATCCCAATTTCCAATCTTTTCTTGGCCCTCTATTAGCATCTCCCAAGCTGGAGATGTGAATTGTTTTCCAGTTCATTCAGTCTTATCAGCACAGTTTTGTGTCTGCTAGGTATCTGTTTTGTCATTTATTGTCATCTGAATTACTGCTTAAATTAATTTTTCCTCAGTTAATGCCCTCTTTTCTAAAGAGTATTGTCAAATAATCCTTAGGAAAGTGTCTTAATGGCGGTTTGCTTTTAGATAAAACACCTTGCATGGCAAAGATTTCATTTCACAGGGAGCTGGTCAGCATTTTTTTATTTAAGATACACCATTGGGATGTAAGGATTTTTCTTTGAAAGAAGCCTTTTGTCAGCAGACATTGGCGTCATAGTAGATTTTACCCCAGCACTGATACGGGCCAGTCAGGGGAGGTCAGAATGGTCAAAATTCGCTATTGACTGAGGGGTCCCAGCTCCATCACAGTTTATGTCATCTGTGAATCTGGTCTGTAGCAATTTAACTTCCCATCAGTGTGCTGCAAGAGGAATGTAAAGACCACAGCTCTCTTGCTTGAATACTTGTAGGTCCCCATGTACTTGTAGGTCCCCAAGTACACAAGAACTGTGGTTGGGTCCTCCTTTCTCTGACCAGGAGAAGAGAGATGGTGAATTGTGAAGCACGCACAAAACTGGTTGCTAATCTCCATGATTTCTATTTAGGGGAGGCAGCTGAGTGAGCACTTGAACATTTACATCTTTTCCCTGAAGAAACGTGTCCAAGAGTGAACACCTGCACTATGATCAGACTGTAACACTTGACGTGGAGATTCACAGCTCTTCCGGTGTAATAAACAGTTGGAATTAATCTGATTGAAGTAACCAAAGAATAGAATACTGCAGATATCCAAACCACTGCAACAATGAGCTATGCAGCAAGATGCTTCATCTCAGAGGAAGATTCCCGTCCAGCAGAGAAGTGTTTACCAAGTTGTTCTGCTGCTAGTATTTATTCTCTTCACTAATGCTGTGTTACTACCCTCTCTGAAGCTTTTGTCTTCCTCCTCCTCACTCACTGTGTCCGAAGTCCTGGATAAATCCATGCCAGGTTACATGAGATCCTTGAGGGTTTATAACCAGCACTGGTTTTGCCTGGCCTAGTCACCAGTGGGACCCCAGCAATGCAAACCCTCCCTGTATGTCCTTCCCACTCTGACATCTGTGCCTGCTTCATTTTCCATATTTATTTTCTTACAACTCATTTCTTCCATACAACCTCCTGAAGGGCTTATGCACATTCAGTGTTTTCCTCACCTCAGATGAATGTGTGAAGAAAAGAGAATGAGCTCAGAAAGCTATGGGTAAAGTGATTTTGAAACTTCTGATTTTTTTCCCCTAGCATTAAGATGAGTCTCAGCTGACCTGTATCTGTCAGAAATGCAGGCTCTGTACAGCAGTAGCTGGCCTTTATATTTATTTTCTAGCACATCGTTGACGTTTTGGTAGCAACAAGCAATATACCCTTGTGATTTAAGCCCAGCCAGTAACAAAGTGCCACGAAGCCGCTCGCTCACTCCCCCAGCCCCGGTTGGGATGAGGAGAAAATATAAAGAAAAGCTTGTGGGTCGAGACAAGGACAGGGAGGGATCACTCACCACTTATGGTCACGGGCAAAAGACAGGCTCGGCTTGGGGAAGAAACAAAATCAGTTTCATTTACTACAAATCAAATCAAAACAGGATACTGAGAAGTAAACCCAAACCTTAGAACACCTTCTCCCCACCCCTCCCTCCTTCCCAGGATCAACTTCACTCCCAAATTCTCTACCCCCTGCCCCGCAGTGGTGTGGGGGGACAGGCTGGGGGTTGGAGTCAGTTCATCACACATTGTCTCTGCCGCTCCTTCCTCCTCAGGGCAAGGACTCCTCACACTCTTCCCCTGCTCCACCATGGGGTCCCTCCCACGGGAGACAGTCCTCCACAAACTGCTCCAGCGCGGGCTTTCCCATGGAGTCGAGGGCATCCACCTGCTCTGGCGCACCTCCTCCCCCCCCTTCCTCACTGACCTCGGTGTCTGCAGAGGGGTTCCTCTCACATTCCAATCCCCTACTCACTGCAGGTTTCCCTTCTTAAATCTGTTCTCCCAGAGGCACTACCACCGTCACTGATGGGCTCGGCCTGGGCCAGAGGTGGGTCCGACTTGGAGCCAGGGAAGCTTCCAGCAGCTTCTCACAGGAGCCACCCCTGCAGCCCCTCCGCCACTACCAAAACCCCGCCACACAAACCCAAAACAACCCTACAAAGGTAACCAGCTGAGAATAAATTCGGCCAACAAACCTTTGAGGATTCTCATATTTCACTGCTAACTAGTTAGTCAAACCTCATCTGTAAGTGCAGAATGCTAAGCAAATCATTATTTGCCTGTGTGCTTGAAACAAATTCTTGTGGTTTTAGATAATGACAAAACAAAAGAAAGACAAGAAAAGCTTTTTTTTTTAAACATTACATGTTTGCATGCAGATGTAAACGGCTCACTTCATCTATAATATATGTAGATTTTCTGCATGCCTTGGAGGAAGGAGTAGGAATTTGAGTTTCATCTCTTTTCATACACTGCCCTAGCCAGAGGGACTTTGTGGCCTTGAAGCACTAATGAAACAATCTGTCCACTTTCCCCAAGGTAAGCGTTAGATTACATTTCTTGCACAGAGGGATGTGATTGACGGACTGGCATGTTTATTAACTAGTTAACTATCTTGCTTGCCAGAAGCAGGGCAGAAGCGTAGCTGTTGAGCTGCTGAGCCTTCAGTTCACCTTCTTCAGTTCTTAGACCATTTCTCCAGCTTTATCACTGGCCTGATCGTTTTTTCCCCAGTTAACACACCCTTACATCAGTAACTTCTATTTTCAGCTGAGCACCGACTAGTCACATCTTCGTGAACAGCTTCAATTTAAGTTTGCACTGCCCCCAAATGAACATCATACTACAATCACAGTTCAGGCAGCTTAAGGCTTGAGTTAGGCAGAGGACCCAGGTCACCCTGTTAATGCTGGTTTGGAGATTTTGCTGAGCCCTGCAGACTCGGGCAGGGAAGGGAGGGCTCCTGCGCCCTCCGGCACCGCTGCGGTCCAGCTATGGGGCAGCAGCTGGAGCAACAAGAGGCATCTCTCCAGCCTTCCTCCCCACCAGCGGGGTGGCCGTCCCCCTGCTCTGCATGATACCCAGGGAACACAGGGTCTCCACAGAGGTGCTCCCTAACTGCTTGAGGACCCTCTTTCTTAGAGTAAGGCTGACAGCTGCTTATTTAATGAGGGTTGCTAAAAAAGGCAGTTCTGACTGTGTTTGAAGGGGAATGACGACTCTGATGTAGGCACGCACCCAACAGTCTCACTGTTTGATGAAGTTAAATACTGCATCCAATACCAGATACGCTGCCACAAAAGTCTCACCTATTTCAGCAGCTTATATTTTAACCCATTCATCAAAAGTATCTGAAGTCCTGACGAGATAACAATTAGAATACAATATACAAAAATACCCCTGGATTGAATGTGGTTGTACTGGAACTCTGTGGACAGGCTTCCCTTTTCCCTCTACCTTGCACTTATTTACGAAACAGTTGGAAATAAGGGTCACAGAAGCGGCACGATTTGATGCACTGTAATGGAGTATTTTGAAATATTTCATTAAATGAATTATAAAACTTGAACTGCCACAACCTGCCTGCACTTGTACCTTTCTAAGGAGAAATACACTATCACTTTTAAAGGAAATTAAGCTCCGGCCAGCTTTTTCACGTTCTCTATAAAGACATGGCAAATAACTTTCTTCTTCCTTTTTAAAGCAACTTGTCACTACAATCTCTATAAAGACAAGTATAAAACCAGATCATGTATTGCACAGTGTATATATTGAATTGTTAGCCATCTTAGATGGTAACCGGTTCAATGAACAAGAATAAAAATGCTTTGTTCATAGGGCTGCATGGTCACAGATTTATTTTGTGAAGTCAGATAACGGTATGTAGGTGACCTAACAGTCTAACAACAGGTTTTTTTGGTCACAACATTATGGCAGGAAGTTTTCAACTATTTGAACTGCAAAGTATATAATATAACAGTATATAAAGTATATATAATATAACAAAGTCTTTTTTTATGCTGTTGAGCATTAACACTAGCCCAAAGACATGCCCCCACCCTAGTCTTATGAAAAGAACTAAACTAGCACTGCTCTCCCAGGTTTGAGTGCCTGGGTTGGAAATGGGCTCCTCCGGTCCCTGCTTCACCCTTCTCCCCTCTACCACAAACCTTCCCTAAGTGGGGCCGGGCAGCGGCTCAGCCCCAGGGATACCTGGAAGCAGGAGGGGGGCCCAGGCTGACCTCCTGGTGGTGGCACGCAACCAGGTAGCTTCAACCCATGGCAGAAAGAGGTCCTGACCCAAGGCTCAAATCCCTGGAGATTTAGCAGCAACATCGCTCAATGCTGCAAAAGATCAGAGCTGTGAAATTACAACGAAGTTTCCCCCTTTTCTTCAAAAAAATTAATATTTTAATCTAAAATGTAGGTGGCTTTTAAGCACTGCATTGAAGATTCATCCCTGAATACTTGGCCATTGCAAGAAAAGTCCACTGGGAGCTTCAGTGTCCTTGCTATAATACTCTCTTCACCTCCTGGCTGCTGCGAGTTTTGCTTTTGCTGCATCAAAACTGAGATACAAGAAGAGATTTAGTACTCTGAAACTGGAAAGCATTTACCATAAAGAAGAATGTTCTGTTTATGTGCACATACATACATGCATTTTTGGGTTTTGATTTGTAGAAGGGGATACTGTTGCTGAGCTCTTGGGGAAACAGATACTAGGTGCACACACAGAATCAGTGAATTATTTTTTTTTTAAAGCAGCTGCCTTTTTCTTCCTGCTCCCTTATGTAGTCACTAATGAAACAAAAATATGTATTTAAACCAGAAAAGTATTATTTGAGAATGTTTTGAATAGTCTCTAGAGCTAGACAGATTTTAACATATATTTTTTTATTAAATATGTAAAAAGATAAACGCAAGTCAAGTTATTCACATATTCAGACAAAAATCTACTCTACCATGCGACAATCTGTGGATAATGTAAAATGACTGATACATCTGAATAAGACTTTTTGTATCTATTATGTCATTACTTATCTATTTATAATTAACAATACATATGTTTACATTCCTTTCAGTTTACATTTAATATATAACCAAAGCTTTATGGTGTGCTATTTAGTAAAGGTAATTACAAATGCATATTAAAACCATAACGGAAGAATGGGTTACTCACAGGGGGTAAGGGGAGAAGGACAACTCGTTCCCCTTTCAGAGCATTGCTCTCCCCTCAGCACAGCCAATTTCTAGTGCCCACAAGGTACTTTACTGCCCCAGCTCCCTCTGTCAGTCACCTCCCCCCTGATACAAGCCGTGAGAGGGTTACAGTCCTCAGACCAGAAATAGGATATAAGGAATTTTCAGGAAATGAAGTTCAGCTTTTTAAAATTTTTTTTAAATGTGCTTCAAAGAAAGGAAAGGAGAGAGGCACAACAGCCTGGCTATGAACCCCCCGGGGAGCTCAGCAACCCGACCACTTGCACCTTTAGAAAAACATTTTCTCTTGAAGTGCTCTCCATGCATCTGCTCGAGTATTGGCAGAAGGATGAACTGCAGTAAGCAGAGACTGGTGCTGATGACATTAAGTTTATAGCTTGGATCCCAAAACTCCTTGCCCCATCAGAAATCCCATACAGGCGTAAAGG